TACAGACTCACTCTGTCTGCGCTGCGGTGGAAGAGTCCGAGGGATGCCCTGGCATGAGCCCTGCCAGGAAGAATAGGAAGGACCAGGAAGCCCACTCTGTGCGGAAAGAGACGGGGAAGAAAGAAAAATAAAACACAGAACCGGGGGGGGGGGGAGAGAGAAAAAACAGTACCCAAAGCTACATCGTTCCTCTTCTCTGAACGAGAAATAGCTGCAATTCTAACCATCCCAAATGAGTCACTGGATTTTCCCAGCGTCCTTCGACCGCTCTCTTTATTCCAGACAGAGACCCGGTTCTATTAGCTCGCGATAAGCAGAGTTCTGCAGAGGAAATGAAAGAATTCACCCCTTCCAGATTTTTCCAAATTTTTGCATTTTTAATTGCTTCTGAGTTTTATCAGAGCCTCGCGAGAGTCCTACCTACACATAAGAGAGCTGGAAGGGAAGCAAAGAAATCAAAATTTGGTGCCCGGCTGCACATATTTCGTAAACAAAAGACATTCAACAGGAGTAGTGCTCAGGTTAGGACAGTGGTGGCGAACCTATGGCATGGGTGCCAGAGGCAGTATTCGGAGCCCTCTCTGTGGGCACACGCACCGTCTCCCCAGCCCCGCCTCCTCCCACGGCCCCCTCCTCACCAGCAGCCCCCCCCGGAGGAGAGTCTCCCCTCGGTGTGGCCCACGCGAAGCAGCGCAGCCAAGGACATGGTAGCCAGGAAGCGGGGACAAGACTCCACCCTTGCGCCCCGTTGCGTGCAGATGATGCTGCAGGGCATGGGCGGAGGGCGTGGCCGCCATGGCGCTGCTGGGCTGCCTGGGTGATCTGTGGCGGGCCGTGGAGGTGGTGGGTGGCCCAGTGGGCAGGACGGAGCGGGGATGGGGGTGGGGGGGTGGGCTTTGGGCACTTGGTCTCTAAAAGGTTCGCCATCACTGGGTTAGGACTATAGGGACTGGAAAATCTGCCATTTAAGTTGTGTGGTTGTTAAATGAGGACCTGAGTTTACAACCGTTTTTGCCATTGCTGTTAAGTGAATCACCGGGCTTGTTTAGCGACCGTGACGTGCAGCCTTCTCTGCTGGCCTCCCCATTGACTTTGCTTGTTGGAAGCTATTTGCAAATAGTGGCTGGTGACCGTGGGACACTGTGATTGTCACAAAGGAACGAGCACCCAACGCCACAACTGTGTGACCCTGGGAAGGCTGCGACAGTCTAAGTGGGAGGACCGGCTGCAAGTTACTTTTTTCAGCACCACTGCAGCTTCCAATAGTCACTAAATGACTGGCTCTAAGTTAAGGACCACCCTTCCCATTTTTAACATATCACACCACCAACGATAAAAATTGCCGGGATCTTTTTCGAACGATTTCCAAAGATAGTTAGCTTAATGCAGAAGCTAAAAATTAAGGACATTCCCCCCCCCCCCAAAATGGGGCAAGGAATTGCAGAGATTTTAGTTATTTTGAACGAAACTAATAATTGCAAAATAAACGGTTCATCTACCGGGAAGATCTCAAGGAAACTTATATAAAACATTTGATAAATCATTGAACATATAATCAACGAGAACAATGTATCCAAGCAAACTTTATAAGCTTCATAAATATGGGAAAAAACTTTTAAAAAGGACTTTCACGGAAGAAAGTTCTATCAGCAAGGCCTCAGGACTAAGAATGCGCCCGTCCTGGCCACCCCCCATTTCTGATAGAGGACCCCCACAATAGAGTTAAGAAGGCAGGACAAGCCTTCTGAATACAAATCTTTTGAAAGAAGGCCTTCACATCAAACTTCTTTGGATTATTAAAGCAGCTGTATCTTTGTCCAGGCTTGAATAGTTTACTCTGTTAGCGGCTTCTAAGAGAGACTCAGATGCAGTTGTTCGTTTCTACTTGAATGCATCCAGAGTTACCTACTGTCTATTTCCATACCAAACTGCTTTTATTATCAGGAACATTTCTGTGGCCTTCAACTGAAATAAGCCTGCACACACCTGCAGAACCACTTTCCATGTCTTGCATGATGAAGCCACTGTAGACCCTTCCTGGTCCTCTTCTGAATAACAGTCCTTTAGAAGTTGGATCTTAGGTGCCTCCACAAGGCTAAGCTCACCGACCTCCATCAATCTCTCCTTGTAAGATCTAGTTTCCAGGAGCTGACTCTCTGGGCTGATCTTTTGTGTGTCCCTTCCTGTTTATTTAAACTCTTCTTACAGTGAAGTGTCCGGATAAGAAGTTTGACTTGTACAGAAACTATTTCTTCTTTCTTTGGAAAGTATAATCTAATAACACCCGAAAGGTCAGACTCCTGACTCATTCAGTTGATAATCATTAAAAGATTTTAGATCCTTTTCTCACCTCTCCTGAATCTTCTATTAATGAATTTGTTTTTTTTTCTTTTTTAAAAAAGAGTAACTTGAAAATTGTCGGATTAAATGTTGTTATTTTCAGTCCTTTCCCTAACTCTTCAAAATCCTTTTGTGTTTGTTTCTTGTTGCCATCTCTGAATTTGCCAAGTCTTTCTTTCCTTCACGTCTTCATTCAATATAGTAATAGCAGCCTCGGACCATTCTTGGTATTATCTCACTGAATATTTCCTTCAATATGAAAATGTGTTGAAAATGTTTGTCAAGCTTCTATGCATCCAACTAAAATTATGCCGTCCAGACCGCACGCAATCAACTTCACACTGGAATAGGATTAATTAAATCCCTCCAGATTTATCTACCAGATGCAACAACAGCTTTGGCTGTATTTGAAAATTCTGAGTGTATTGTTTAAAAGAAATTAAATAGGCATATTTAGTTCTATTTCAGGAACTAGATATGTGCATTTAATTTCTTTAAAACAATATTCAAAAGCATATTGTTGATTCTTTTTTTTTGGTGGATTCTACCTTTTGTGTAAATCCCCAAGCATAGTTATTGGTATATGACAGGGCTAGGCAATCTTGGCTCTTTTATGACTTGTGGACTTCAACTCCCAGAATTCCTGAGCCAGCCATGCTGAGGGGAAAGGGAGAGGTTTCCAAGCTGAGCCAAGCTGGCTCAGGAATTCTGGGAGTTGAAGTCCACGAATCATAAAAGAGCCAAGGTTGCCTACCCCGGTATATGACATTACATGAATATAATTAATAAATAAAAAATAAAACGAAACGAAAAGATTTGGCTATATACATTTTCATGTTTTTATTTTATCTGTTTGAAAAAAAAAACAGATTACGATATCTATCTTGCTGCTCTGTTTCATTTATTTTCTGGCAAAAATGGAAGAATGCACAAATGCAAGGATGTTTAAAAGCTAAGAATCTGATGGGGGAAAAAAAACCCTAATGACTTTTCAAGTTGACCTGGAAGATTAGTTCATTTTTTTTTTCTGGAAAGTTATAGGGTTGAACTATGTTTTGGTGATTCTGTTATGGAAACCAACAGTTACAATCCAAATCTCCAAGAAAAAAATGAGCTCATTCCTTTCTAATTCCCAAAAGCAACAGAGAGAGAGAGAGAGAGAGAGAGAGAGAGAGAGAGAGAGAGAGAGAGAGAGAGAGAGAGAGAGAGAGAGAGAGAGAGAGAGAGAGAGAGAGATCCACAAAGTGCCCACATAAAGATTTAGTATATTCATTTGTAAAAATTTTTAACTTCCAACATATCCACTTTTGGGGGGATACAAAAAATTAGCATGACTTTCCAAACATATTCTACAGTTGTATTTGACTTATTACATTGATATTTGTTATCCTGGCATTTTATGCAATATCCATTTCATTTAAATCTTAAGTAAATTATCTCTATGTGCATTTTATAGATTGTCTATATCAGAGGTTCCCAACCTTTTGGGCACCAGGGACCAGTTCCGTGGAGAAAGATTTTTCCACGGACTGGAGAGTATGTGGTTTTGGGTGCTGACTGCATCCCACGGATGGGGCTTTGCTTGTTTGTGCGGTCTGGTTGCTGACATGCCGTGGCCCAGTACCGGTCCACAGACCAGGGTTTGGGGACCTCTAGTCTATATCTTATATAGAAGTACAATTACTAAAAATGAAAACCAGGGTAGGAGTTTATAGTATAATACAGTATTTTTTTAAAATTCCAGAACCACAAAGAGAACTTAATACTAAAAGTAGGGATTTCCAAATAGTCATGGTAAAAAAAATAATGTTATTGAGGAAATGTGTGTGTTGTGGTAAACTGTTCCCATTACTTTAGAAAAAAAGTGTGTTAAATCTGACAGGGTTACAAGGCATTTTCAGAATTGCCCCCCGTTTCTTCAGAGTTCAGTCCAGATTTTTTTGGGTATATGCCATGTGGACTAATCCACAAAATTAGGAAATATACCACTTTTTGAATGCGGTACCTAAAATAGGATGAATGAGGCAAGCCTACAACTGTAAGCCTTAAAGACTATAAATGTTTCTTATAAAGATTATATAAAAAAAGAAGTGATGGTGATAATGTCATTATAAAGTATACACACTTAGAACAATGATGGAGTACAGATAGTTCTCAACTTACGACCAGAAAAAACATTCATTTCTGAGCAAGGTGGTTGATAAGTGAGTCACACCCATTTTTACTGGGGTTTTGCCACACAAATCCGCACAATTGTGAAGTGTATTAGACAGTTGTTAATAAATCTGGCTTCCCAACTGACTCTGACACTATTTGTGACCTCAGAAACCAGCTGAAGTCACAAATGCTGATTACATGATCCAGGGATGCTACAAACATCATCAATACAGGCCGGTTGCCACGGGCCCTCATTTTGATCATGTGACCGTGGGGAAGGCTGCGAGGGCCACAAGTGTGGGGACCGACTGGGTCCATCGTAAGTCCCTTTTTTTCACTACTGTGGCAACTCTGGACAGTCACTAAATGAATAGTTTTAAGTCGAGGACCACCTGTATATTGACGTATGACAGCAAATAATACGACCGAAAGTAAAACGCCAAGACAAATAGCGTGAGGAAGCATCTCTACGCAAGGAACATCTTTTCCAAGGAATGACTCACCGCGCTTCTTCGCCAAGTGGTCTGGGTGAATTTGTCAGCAAAGCCGCCCGTGGTCGCTTCAGGTATCTTGGTACCTTCGTGGCAGCCACACTTAACGGCCTTTAGGCAGAGAGGAGAGAGAAAACCCGGTGAAAACCAAGAACAGCCACAGAGGCCACCTCACAGGAGGGGGGGGATCCAAAGCCAGCTTCAGACAAGAGGCAGTGCAGGTACAAATTCAGATTAAACAGATCCAGTAAGGGTAGACCAAAACTGCCACACAGCACCTGCCTTCCCGAGAGAAATTAAAATGCTCCTTTCTTAAACCATCATACAGCTCAGGAGCACAACCATTTTCTGCCATTTGTTGTGCTCAAATTTCTTTTCACACGCGGCATGATTACTTACAAGACGGCGTTCAAGCTGTTGGATGGTCTCGTCTTTCATTTTCAAATCATCCTTCAGCTGTGTGATCTCACTTAATAATTCTTCAGTCTAGCACGGAAAAAAAAGGTTTAATGTGTTTCGAGAAATATTATAATTATGTCTAATCTGTTGCGGAAGGAAAAAAGTGCGGCTTTGAAAGCAGGACTCAACAATGTGTTTCACATTACCAAATGTTTAAGAATGATACAGATTTCAGATATTATTAAGTAGCTAAACCCTCATATTTCTCTTTATTTATTAAATTTGTTTGCCCTCCATCTTGCTGGGAGACCTCAGCAATTCCATCAGTGAATACATTTAATAAATAAATAACATTTGCCTAAGACAGATATGTATAATTTTGGACCCAGATATAGGCATTACTTTAGGAGGAGAAATAAAATTAAAAAGACTGGAAACCTTATTAATTTTCTGATATCTGCCATTCACAAAATAACTGTTAGGTGTAGTGAACTTTCTACCACTGCTACCATCATTCAGGCAGTCCATATATTACCAGACTTACATAGAATTTTTTTGATGCCACATCTACATCTACAGCTAAATATGAACATTTACACCGCATATCCAAAAATGTAGGAAGCGTAACTCAATTTATTCTGAAAAACTGGATTATGTAATACTTTCCAAAATGGAATGTTACCTAAGTTAGGGACTGCCTATGTACAATCTTCATTTAGATCATAGCTCAGCCATTTGCATTTTTATTATTAATTAAATCATTGGACATTTTCCCCGCTCAATTCTACTAAATTGTTTATATTCATGTTTTGATCTAACTTTTAAAGGCCTTCTGGTGTGTTTTCTTTTCTCCCACTTCGCATGTTTAAAAGTATTACTTTGAAAGATCTGTTCTATTATATCTTGTCTGGGTTTTAAATAATTTTGTCAGCTGATTTATTTCAATTAGCCTGTGTTCCTGTTCTACGTTATTGTCTTCAATTCTATGTCTCTAAATGGCTCCTCTCAAAACAATTTCATCTGGCTCCTTTCAAAACAGTTTTATTTAAGTGCCTAATATATTTGGGGGACTTAACTTAATTTCAAGCATCCCAAGCTTGAAAAAAATAATTCAGTAATGAGAAAAACATTTATCTTGGAATTATTTAAGTAAGACATATAAACAGTATAGATTAGATTCTCTATATCTGGGGTCTGTCTGATGTGATTTTCCTAGCAAAATTAAAACTCTCCAAAATCCTGGACAATTCCATTCTAAGGGCTCATCTTCAAAATGTCAACTGACACTTTACCTTATACATTGGTTCGGGTTCCAGCTGTTCTGGACTTGATGGCATTGGGAGTGTGATGTTGTGCAGTGACACGTTTTCATCATTCTGCAAAAGAGCAACATTTTTTTGTGTGTGTGTGTTTTGAGCGTATAAATCTTGCGAAGATATCCAGCAAAGCTTAAAAATTTTAAACCCTAGTCCAGGGGTAGGTAACCTTGGCTCTTTTATGACTCGTGGACTTCAACTCCCAGAATTCCTGAGCCAGCCATGCTGAGGGGAAAGGGAGAGGTTTCCAAGCTGAGCCATGCTGGCTCAGGAATTCTGGGAGTTGAAGTCCACGAGTCATAAAAGAGCCAAGGTGGCCTACCTCTGGACTAGTCGAACAATCTACCATAAACAAAAGGAAGGAGAGTAAGTGGATGCTTGCATGAAGAATGACTCAGGAATTTCATTTTTTTCAACTAAAATCAGAGAAACCTTTACCGCAGTGTTTCTCAACCTTGACAATTTTAAGGCATGTGGACTTCAACTCCCAGAATTCCCCAGCCAGCATTGCTGGCTGTGGAATTCTGGGAGTTGAAGTCCACATGCCTTAAAATTGTCAAGGTTGAAAAACACTGCTTTATCGGCTGCCTTCTTTCCTCAAATTCTCCCATGAGGGACAGATCCTACAGTAAGTTCAAACTACAAAACAAGCCAACCAACAAAAAAAAAAAAGCAATAGGAATGAACAATTTAACACAACTGCCCAGAATTTATGAAATGGCCTTTGATACCAATGCAAGCATTACATTTTCTCTCCCCTCGGCTGACCAAAGCAATGAAATAAAGCAACCTATTGCAAGATCTTGTCAACTCAGAGGCAGCCTGGAGGAGAGTCTATCTCCATCCTCACAACCCCTACAGCTTGCTGCCACCACTGGGGTTTGTTTCTTGGTTGCCTAATTTAGCTCTTCATTATTGCCAGATGCCATTGCTTCTCCGGTGTTTTTTACAACCACAGGCAGATGAAATCCCACTTCTGGGCCTTCCTAGCTTACTGCAGGGGACTATTCACTGTAACCCGTCCCACATTTTGGCTTTTGCTAGATGGGCTCCCTGGAGCAAGTTAAGACTCTTCTGGTACTTAGATACCTGTTTTTCATCTGCCTTTCTCTTGGCAGCAGCTGCTCTAAAGCTATCTTCAAAGGCACAAAGGCCTATTTTTAAGTATATAAAGAGCTCTTTGTTTTTTGATGCTTGCCAATGTGCTTAAAGCCTCGTGTCGGTTACCTGCTCTGGGGCTCACTTTCCTACCTCTGCAATAAATAGGCCTTTACAGCCTGCTCTCTGGGGGATCTGCTCCTTTTGAACTTTCTGAGACTGTTCTGCTGAATTTCTCAGCTAGCTGGCCAGATATGAATGAATGAATGAATGAATGAATGAATGAATGAACGAACAAACCTTTATTATCAAAGTATAACATGTATACAGTGAGATTGGCTGAGCCTCCCTCCGTGCCCCCCACCACCACAACACACAGTGACTACAAACCCCCAACTTATTACACCCTGGGAGCTAATTGAGAGCCGAGGTGGCGCAACAGTTAGGGTGCAGTACTGCAGGCCACTTTAGCTGACTGTGTTCAGCAGGTCAGCGGTTCAAATTTCACCGGCTCAAGGTTGACTCAGCCTTCCATCCTTCCGGGGTAGGTAAAATGAGGACCCAGATTGTTGGGGGCAATGTAAATATATATATATATATACATTGCTTACTGGTGTACACCGCTTAGAGAGTGCTTGCACTTAAAGCGGTATATAAGTCTCATAAATAAATAAATAAATAATTGAACAGCACGCTGGCCTCATGAGTCTATCATGCATGAAATTATGTCCCGTTCAAGAGCCTGACAGCCCATGGGTAGAAGCTGTTCTTCAGCCTGTTGGTACGGCTGGCTGTGTTTCTATATCTCCTGCCCGATGGTAGGAGAGTAAAGAGGTACCAACCAGGGTGTGAGTCATCCCTGAGAATTTTCCTCACTCTGCCAAGGCAACGGGCCCTGGCGATGCCATCCAGTGGTGTCAGGGAACAGCCCACGATGTTTTGTGCCGTGCTCACCACCCTCTGTAATACCTTCCTGTCCGCGGCTGACAAGCCAGCATACCAAACCACGATACAGTGTGTGAGGACTGGTAGAAGAAGGTCATGAGTCGTCGTTCTACCCTGCTCTTCCGCAAGACCCTGAGGAAGTGGAGTCCCTGTTGGGCCTTTCTGGCCACCTGGGCTGTATTAATTTTCCAGGTAAGATCTTCACAGAGCAGTGGTTCTCAACCTGTGGGTCGGGACCCCATTTGGGGTCCAACGACCATTTCACGGGGGTCACCAAACAACGCAGTCCGCCATTTTTTTCCCCTTTTCCTTAGCTGTGCTACTCCCTTTTATTCTATTGGCTTTCGAAAGCCAATAGAATAGACTCTCTTGAATAGAGTCTAATTCTATTGGCTTTCAAAAGCCAATAGGGATCGTCCAGGCTGTCTCTGCCCTGCTGAGCCCGCCAAAAGTCCCATTCTGCAAACAGTGCTGCACCCGTTGAGTAGTCCTCGACTTACGACCGGTTGAGTAGTCCTCGACTTACGAACCGGTTAGGGGTCGCGTCATTAAAAAGGTTGAGAACCACTGTCACAGAGGTAGAGTCCCATGAATTTAAAGGAGGAAACTCTCTCCACACAGCCCCCTTTGATGGAAAGTAAGGCAGGTTCCTCTCTTTTCCTCCAGAAGGCTAACACCATCTCCTTCGTCTTGCCTTTTCCAGGAGCCCGCAACCTCCTTGCGCTGCTCTCCTGTTTAATCTTCCTTTGTTTTCTCTCCCTCCTGAGGGAGGAGCCCAAGAAGGCCCCTCTTCTTCTTTTTGAGAAACCAGAGCCAAGACATGACCCTGAAGAAAATTCACCTTAGTCCTGCCCTCTCGGGCATCCGCTCCTTCCATTGTCCTATTGACTCAGAAGGGGCGTTGGTCTTACTTGAACGCCTTTTCTCAGTGCGGAGATGGAGAATCCACCAATGGTTTTCTCTGTCTGCCTGCTCTTGAGACCAAGTAGCCAAAGCTTGACACGCCCCCTCTTACCAGAGCAGTGGTTCTCAACCTTTTTAATGCCACGACCCCCAACCGGTTGTAAGTCGAGGACTACTCAATTGGTGCAGCACCGTTTGCAGAATGGGACTTTTGGAGGACTCAGCAGGGCAGAGACAGCCTGGACAATTCCTATTGGCTTTTGAAAGCCAATAGAATTAGACTCTATTCAAGAGAGTCTATTCTATTGGCTTTCAAAAGCCAATAGAATAAAAGGGAGTAGCACAGCTAAGGAAAAGGGGAAAAAAATGGCGGACTGCGTTGTTTGACGACCCCCGTGAAATGGTCGTTCAACCCCAAATGGGGTCCCGACCCACAGGTTGAGAACCACTGTACTAGAGGATCCATTCTTAACTTGGTCTCAGCTCTTGAAGACTCGTTTTGGCGTGGCTCTCAGCTTTTCAGGTTAGACAAAGCAACCCATTGGTGAATTCTCCCCTAAATTATTGGCTACCCCTTTTAAAAAAATTCACCTTTCCATTGTCCTACTGACTCAGAAAAAACAAACCTCCTTTCTTTTCTGCAGCCTGTCAGTTCTATGACAAGGTTTGAAAAAGCCAGGCTCCATTTTCAGTGTTAATATACTGGGCAACAACAACAACAGAAGGAGCTTGAACTTTGGCGTGGGTGGGGCAGGCTAGGGATGGGTGGTGATACAGCTGTACAGCTTCTGACGGAATACTTTTATTAAGAAATCAAAGGCAGAGAACTAAGTAAAAGTGGGGTTACAAATAAAACAAAACAAAGCAGGAGGCCATCTGGAGTGTGTTTAGATCTGGAGGGGATTGAGTTGTGGGTTCCTCATCTGTTTTTTTGGGAGGGAGGCCGTGAGCCCCTCTCATGACTTTTAGCATCACAACGGTTGGAAGTGGGCGATTCTGCTTCTGCCCATTTTTAAGCAACTTGCACACAGATAAGGCAAAAGGTGGAAGGGGATGGCAGAAGATGAAATAGTTAAGTTGGTATCATTGGCGCAATGAATATGTGTTTGGGCAGAGTCCAGGAGACCAAAATGGAGGATGGGGGTGGGTGGGCATGCTCCATAGGATCACGAGCATTTGGACATGGCTCAGTGACTGAACAAGAGCAACAACCCACAGATGTACCTAGGCATTCTAAAATAGAACTAAAAAAAGAGAAGCAACCTGGAATTAAGGAGAAACTATCTGACAGTGAGGACAATCAACCAGTGGAACAGCTTGCCTCCAGAAATTGTGGGCGCTCCATCCCTGGAGATTTTTAAGAAGAGACTAGACATGGGGTAGGCAACCTTGGCTCTTGACTCGTGGACTTCAACTCCCAGAATTCCTGAGCCAGCCACGCTAAGGGGAAAGGGAGAGGTTTCCAAGCTGAGCCATGCTGGCTCAGGAATTCTGGGAGTTGAAATCCACGAGTCATGAAGGGGCCATAGTTCCCTCATGCTGGCTCAGGAATTCTGGGAGTTGAAGTCCACAAGGCATGAAGGGGCCATAGTTCCCCTATGCTGGCTCAGGAATTCTGGGAATTGAAGTCCACGCGTCATAAAAGAGTCAAGGTTGCCTACCCCTGGACTAGACAATCACCTGTCTGAGATAGTATAGGTTTTCCTGCTTGAGCAGAGGGCTGGACTAGAAGACCTCCAAAGTTCTACTCTACTCTACTCTACTCTACTCTACTCTACTCTACTCTACTCTACTCTACTCTACTCTCTACTTTCTCCCAGAGAGGGACATGCCAGGCTGGGTCTGGAACGAGATCTTTGACTTGGTGCCTATAAAAAGCAGCCCTTGAAGTCACTGCTACTAAAAGGCTCTTGGCCTCAAATAGATGATCAGATCTTAGGCCAATAAGCCAATGTGGAGAAAACCTTTTCCTTTGACCTTAGTTCATTTATTTTAACAAGAGAAAATCAGCTGATCAATCTGTACAAAAATCACTTGGCAAGATGAGACAACTGTGTTTTTAAAAAGGGTTTTAAAACTACCCCCTATGGTTTAATTACCTCTGGTATTGACAGCAACCCATTTTACTGATTTTACTTTTCCTCCGTCAGGCCTATACTGAATTCTGCATGCATTTTCTACAGTAGTTGGAAGAAGCAGTCTTCCGGAATTTGGACTATGGAGCTGCATTTGGAAGCACAGATGCTGACCTTTGGTATTCAAACAGACTGCATCATTGTTGACATCACAACCTTTTTTGTAACAGGCCACTTTCCTCTCCCTGGCTGGGACGAGTTGTGTGAGCAATGAATGGTTTAATGAGTTTATGTTCCAACTCCAATTAGCATAATCGGCAAACAGCAACATTAGCTCTGGAGGAACCCAACAGATTTATATTGCTATGATACTTTAATCCTCTTTTCCCAGGCCAAAAGCAACTGTGAGTCTGCGAGGAACAAGGCCCTGAGTGCTCCCTGTCACAGCTACTTTTCAAAGAGAAGACAGACACACTGCCTCACTTTAGATAAGGGGTGTCCAGCCGTGGCAACTTTAAGACTTCAACTCCCCAAATTCTCCCCAGCCACCTGAATCTCAAGCAGAACTGAATTAAAATTTTGAATTTTAATGAATTAAAAATGCTTGCTATTTGAAGTGATGCTCTGGTTGCCAAACTCCATCCACTGCAGCGTCCATGAACCTGGAAAGCCAATTCCCAGAGTTTGGAAAAGACTTAAGGAGAAACTTCCTGACAGTTAGAACAATTAACCAGTGGAACAACCTGCCTCCAGAAACGGTGAATGCTCCAACACTGGAAGTTTTTAGGAAGAGACTGGACAGCCCTTTGTCCGAAATGATATAGGGTTTCCTGCCTGAGCAGGGGGTTGGACTAGATGACCTTCAAGGTCCCTTCCAACTTTATTGTTATTGTTATTATTCCTCAGACATGATATCCTTTCAACTCTCCCTCCTGCAGGAATGGAAATATTCACTACCACCACCACCACCACCACCACTACTACTACTACTACTACTACTTCTACTACTACTAGAACGTAGGGATGTTCAAAATTTCCAAACCTGAAATGCAAATTAAGACTTTTCGGAGCAGAGGGATTAAGCTTGTAACAGGATATTTTGCACTGTACACAACAGAGCTGTGTACACTTGGTACACATCCAAAATTTGCTCAAAACAGCTGCATTGCTTATGACGGTGCCTTTTACACTCCAAACAAGAGACTTTCAATTCAAGATGCTACCATCCAGGACATTAGAGCGAGTTGCTATTTCAGCCGCCAACTTCCAGCATCTTTAAATATGAGATATTTAGTTCTATAATAGAAAAAAGTGATGACACGTTATCTTTTCTCCTCACTAACCTGGTGGAGTATTCTTTTCATTTTTAAGAGCTGGGTTTTCACCGCCGTGCAGTCTTGAACCATATGGCGAAGGGTCATTTCGTCCAATAACACAGTATTTGGTGGCAAGCCCCTCAGCGGTGGATACAAGCCTGATGTCCCGTAGCCTTCAAGATGACTAACAGGGGGAGAATCGATATAGTTGCAACCCCTGAAACAGAGTTTGGAGGATGTTAGTAAAGAGCCTTGGTTTATGTCTAGTTTAATGAAGAGAAGGATGAGGGGGGACATGATAGCAGTCTTGCAGTATCTCAGGGGCTGCCCCAAAGAAGAGGGAGTCAAGCTATTCTCCAAAGCGCCTGAAGGCAGGACAAGAAGCAACGGATGGAAACTGACCAAGGAGAGAAGCAACTTAGAACTAAGGAGAAACTTCTTGACAGTGAGAACAATTAACCAGTGGAACAACCTGCCTCCAGAAGCGGTGAATGCTCCAACACTGGAAGTTTTTAAGAAGAGACTGGACAGCCATTTGTCTGAAATCGTATAGGGTTTCCTGCCTGAGCAGGGGGTTGGACTAGATGACCTCCAAGGTCCCTTCCAACATCATCATCATCATCATCATTATTATTATTATTATTATTATTATTATTATATCTTCACAGAAGTGATCTTCTGCATTAAATGAAGAGCAATGCAGTATTCTATCTAACTGCCCAAGATCAGATGGATGTTCTCTCCTCTGAATCTCTGCCAGAAAAGCTGTTTGGCTGTGCCAGTGGTGAGAATCTCCTTTATGGTGGCTTTCCAACTTTCAAGGGTTTTCCTCAAGAGTTCAGCTTGCACCGGTGTTACCAGTATTTCACCCTCAGACCAGGACCTATTTTCCTAGGCACCGGAAAATACATGCATGTTTTTTATTTATTCTGTTACATTTGTTCTGCCTTATTCACATTTTACTGTTTTGCTTTTAATATGCTTACTCTTATTCTTGACTTGTAGGTCATCTTCACGCAAAGTGCAATTTTAAAATATTGGCAATCTTTGATTAATTATACATACAGTAGTGGCCAAAATTGTGGAAACCTTTTGGGAAAAGTGTATTTTTGAGGTTTGATGGCTAATAACACCACTTTTTTGGGGGGAGTAGTACCATAAAATTATATATCAATAGAAAGATAATTTAATCAAGAATGTAATGCAACAAAGTTTGTTCAATTATCTGTACTGTATTCTATGAAAGGTTATAGCCAAATAACCAGAAAAAGGAAGCACAATTTGCTTAGGTGGATATCAGGTAACTTTCCTTCATCTGATTGTAGCCAATGAGCATGAGTGTTTAGAGAGCCAATCGGGTGTCATCTTGTTTTGGCAATGAGCCAATCGGATCACAGTAGGAGTCAGTTATTGATGTCCTGTATGGAAGCTGAGAGGAGGACATTTGTCAGTGTGCTATGTGACCGCTATCAAGTTGGTTGGGGTTTTTTGTATTCTTTCATTGAGTGAGTTTGCAAAACGTAATAAAATTAAAGTCATGGTGCAAAGACTTGACTGGTTGCCCAGAAAGCGATGTAAAATAGTATTATTAAGTGAACAAGGCTACAGTTATAAAGAAATTGGAAGAAAAATGGGTGGAAACTTAACCAAAGGTGGCATTTCTACTGTACACTTTTCCCAAAAGGTTTCCACAATTTTGGCCACTACTATATAACTCACTCCCATAGAAAGAGACTCATTTTTGTTTTGGCTATTGCATGTGTGTGTGTGTGTGTGTGTGTGTGTGTGTGTATGTAGGTCTTTGGTTGTTTGGGTTTTCTCCCGCGTAAAATTGGAAGTGTCTTGGTGACGTTTCGACGAAGTCCCATTCGTCATCTTCAGGCTGGTGCTTTCAGCTTCGTGCTTCGAGGAGCTCCTCGAAGCACGAAGCTGAAAGCACCAGCCTGAAGATGACGAATGGGACTTCGTCGAAACGTCGCCAAGACACTTCCAATTTTACGCGGGAGAAAACCCAAACAACCAAAGACTTACATACAAACACCCGCAAAAACCTCAGAAAACATATATATATACACATACACACACACACACACACACACACACACACACACCCACCAAACGTGAATGTGAACATTTCACCTTCAACACGGTCACAATCCCTTTGGAGAAACTTTCAGTGAGAAACAGCCCTGTTTCAACTATTCCACCCTGAGTTTGAAATCTTTTCAGAAAGATTAAAGTAGCCCATCTGGAATAGAAAACAGCCATTTCAAGCTCAAAGTAGGATGTTGATCTTGTTCAAGTTAGGAACATTTTACACTTCTCTGGACTGTGCTGTCTTTTCTTTCTAAGAATCGCTCTGTCCAAATGTAGAGTTTAACTCTGGGGGGTGGGGGGGGGAACCCTCTAATGATTAATGGCTGCTAGGAAAATCCCAAACCTCAACCTTCAACCTTTTTGCTCTTCTGAGAATCACACCTGTTTAGATCATTTCGGACGTGTGAATAGTGCTCAGTGGGACTAAGATGATAATGATCCTGAGTGTTCCACCTCTGGGGTGTTCTCTTCCAGAGTCCCTCTGCTTTTTGCTGTCGAATATTTCTGCCCGGTTGCTCATAACGGTTCATATTGTCACATTCCTCTGTATCAACAGGAAAAAAAAAAATAGAGCAACACCGATTTAAGTATTAGTATCAACATGAAAGCAAAACAGATGTTGGATGGCACTCTTAATTAATTCACACTTGTCCATAATGAAGTCAAGGAACTGCACATAAATTAGGTCTGGGCACAGAAAAGATCATTTTATTTCACAATATGATGATGATCAGAGGTAAGATATAAATGTAAAACCCAAGTGTTCTTCCTCCGTAACGCATCAAACAACAGAGATACCATACTAGTTATGCTGAAATTAACTGGCGCCCGGTATAGCAAAGCTGCTACTTCAGTTCAGTAACTTTTAATCATTTTTTTAGCATGAGGAATATAATAAAGAATCAGGCCGTTCCTTTGCTATCTATCCGAATGCAACTTCTAAGTGTTCGGATAGCCCTTATTCTTTTTCTAAAAAACCAAATTTTATTGGTTTTTCCAGTTTTACATTTAAGTGCTTGGAAAGCAGCGTCAGTCAATAGTTCAATAACAAAGTCTCTAGTACAGTGTTTCTCAACCTTGACAATTTTAAGGCATGTGGACTTCAATTCCCAGAATTCCACAGCCAGCATTGTCGGCTGTGGAATTCTGGGAGTTGAAGTCCACATGCCTTAAAATTGTCAAGGTTAAGAAACACTGCTCTAGTACATATCTCATGTTGCACTATCAAAAATTCCTTCTCTATTTCCCTTAATATAATACTTAAATTAGTAAGTATCATACTTACTAATTATATATCATACTTAAATTAGTACATTTCTAACCGTGACAAACTCAATTAAAATATTTATCAGTATATTTTTTGCTTATACATATCCATATCCTGTTTTTTTAAGTTTTAGCTAACCTTTTAGCCCTTATTCTTCACAAGGATTTTTCCCTACACTTATACAATCAATGATGAAACACAATCTTATTCTTCACAAGGATTTTTCCCTGCACTTATATAATCAATGATAAAAGACGATCTTTGGGGAGTTACATTAATTAAGGAGAAGTTTTAGAACTGTTCATTTACCATGCAACATGAAACTTCTAAAAAACACACACACATCTGTCAGTGCCTCCCAAAACGATGGTCTGACAACTGGATGAGGCAATTGTCTGGAAATCTTAAAAGCCAAACCAAGGCACCAAAGAAATGCAGCTGGGGAAGAAAAAGATTGAAGAAACGCGTTCAGCTTTCCACTTACCTAAAACTGTTCTTCTCATGGCTAATCCTTGGCTGCGAGGCCCTTTTCCTAGCTGTTGCTCAGCTGCCTACTCAGACATAGTTTTGCAGGAGACGGGGACAAACAGGCCTTCCTTCCTGATCGTTCCCTGCTTGCGTAGAGTTGGGAAAGCAGCCCAGTTTGGCCCTCTGACTTACAACTCCCATCCTCCAAGTTGCATACTTCTTGCCACAGAACAATTGCTATAAATAGAGGGCAAGTTCCATCACAAGCTCCAAAAGGGAGCCAGAAAATTATAAACCTACAAATTACTTTCGCACTTGCTGGGGTCAAAATCCAGTCTTCGGGGCATGATGGAGTTAGCTGCTGAATTCATGAATGGCACAATCTTGGGAGTTGAAAGCAGCCATTGAATCAAAGTCCTGTTTTTTTGAACCCCCATTAAAGCCAGACTTGAATGCATCCAGTGAAAAAAGAAGCCCGGCCTACACCTACAGCCAACTCTGGCTCTCTTCGGATTTTTCCTGAACTTCCACTGGAATTCAAATCACTCCGCCCTGGATCTAAACATAACTGCTTTAGTTACTTAATTTCCAGACTTCAAAAAGCTTTTCTGTGTACTTATCTAGCTAATTGATTTTGGTGTGTGGGGGGTTTTTTTTTTTTGTTAAAACGAAAGGATACACTGTAATTTTAACCCTGTTATACCAAAAATTTATACCATAAATTTCATTTAAAAAATACTGGTTCAGGGGCAGGCAACCTTGGCTCTTTTATGACTCGTGGACTTCAACTCCCAGAATTCCTGAGCCAGCCATGCTGAGGGGAAAAGGAGAAATTTCAAGCTGAACCATGCTGGCTCAGGAATTCTGGGAGTTGAAGTCCACGAGTCATAAAAGAGCCAAGGTTGTCTACCCCTGCATGATGGCTCTAAAAATGGGAAAGAAACATAAGGTGATAAACCTCTGTGCAAGCACACTCTCAAAAGTGCTGCTCTGTTAAGAATCTTCCGGAAAATTAAACAGTGGGGATATTATTCATTGCATTCCTTGAGCATCAAATGAAGATGTACAGCAGGTGTGTCCAACCTTGGCAACTTTTAAGACTTGTAGACTTCACTTCCCAGAATTCGTCAGCCACTTTTGGGAATTCCGGGAGTTGGAAGTCCACAGATCTTAAAAGTTGCCAAGTTGGGACATCCCTGCTGTACACTGAGACAAACGCCTCTGTATATCCCCAGCCTTGGTTTCCTCTAGATTCATGGGATGACCACTCTAGAAGTTGTTGGTTCTCTGGGCTTAACAGAAATCAAAAGTGAGATCAAAGAAGCAACAGACACTTCAGGAGGATGCTCTCACTAACCATTATCATAGGGTGCATCTTCAGGTAAGTCGACATCAAGCATAAGATCATCATCTTCAAGATCACAGGACTCAAGGTTGTTCAAGATATCCTGCAAGGAAGGAAAAATGGCTTCAAGTCATTCAAACTAACATGCAGTTTGAAAGAAACTCTTTATGGCCGTTTCTGCAACTACAAAAGTGAACTTTATTATCGTCAATGATGAAAGCAGCTTCCAACTATCCAGCACAGCTAGTATATGTTGAAGTGAAAAGAAATAATTCACCCCCAGGCCTCTTAAAAATATGTGCTAACTATTCAGTTAAAACAGATCTTTATTTCAGCCACTTCTTCTTCTTGTGCTATATCTGTTATCGGACGTTGGCGATCATGTCGGCGATCCTGTTTTTATCAGCAGCCGCACGAAAAAGTGCTGCTGAGTTTTGTCCAAACCAGTCCCTTAGATTTGGAAGCCACGATGTTCCTCTTCTGCCTGGACCTCATTTCAGCCACAGAGCAGCATAAAATACAATGAGGAAAAATTACACCCATTTCAGTATTAATTTATGGAAACTTGTAAATCAGTGGTTCTCAACCTGTGGGTCGGGACCCCATTTGGGGTCGAACGACCATTTCTCGGGGGTCGCCAAACAACGCAGTCCGCCATTTTTCCCCCTTTTCCTTAGCTGTGCTATTCCCTTTTATTCTATTGGCTTTTGAAAGCCAGTAGAATAGATTCTCTTGAATAGAGTCTAATTTTATTGGCTTTCAAAAGCCAATAGGAATTGTCCAGGCTGAGCCCGCCAAAAGTCCCATTCTGCAAACGGTGCTGCACCAGTTGAGTAGTCCTCGACTTATGACCGGTTGAGTAGTCCTTGACTTACGACCTGTTGGGGGTCGCGGCATTAAAAAGGTTGAGAACCACTGTTGTAAATGATAAAACATAATTTAAAGTTACAGAATACAATTATATTAAAATACTAAGGTATGTCTAGGAAAATGAGGGAAAGAATGACCAGCAACAAGAGACTCGATTATGGTGGCCATGGGGACACCTCTGGGAGACTTGAAAGACCACAGTAAGGGATGGACCCTCATAGAGAAATTTACCTAGGTAGTCACTAGAGTTGAAAGCAACCTCAGGGCACACAATCAAGCAAGCATATCTACTAAGAAAGTTCTTAATATTATTGGACTAAAATGGGAGAGGGCCTATGAAAGCCACAGAAAGAACGTAAAAGCAATAAACCCATAATTTCTCATTAGATGTATCACATTTCCCAGGTACAAAACCATGGATTTGGAAGATAATTCCATTTGATTTGTGACTATTGGCCTTGAAGGAATATTCCAATGGTGTCAATAAAACTATGTCCATAAGTCCTAGTCCCAAGTCCTAGGACAAAAGCCATTTATGAAAACTTTCGTTAAGTTTTTAAAACCTTTGCGGCTTCCCAGCTGATAGATATGCTTCTCTGAATGCTGTTATTACCTTCACAGTTTACAGTGTGTTTAATAAGCAGCGAGGAATTTTTCACAACTGTCAGAAGAACATCACAACTGAATGCACAAATGGAATATTGCTAGAGCTCCATTAATATTTTACAGGAAATCCTTCCCCTCAATTGATATTTCACTCTTCCCTTAAAAGGGTAAACTGAATTACCGTAGTTTCCGGCATATAAGAAGACTTTCGCAAGCTTTAAAATTGGCACCGAAGTCAAGGGTCGTCTTATACGCCGAGTTGTCTTATACGCCGGAAATAACGGTAGTTTCCGGCGTATAAGATGACTTTCTAGGCATGCGACTCGGCGCCAAAGACGGGGGTCATCTTATACGCCAGGTCGCCTTATACACCGGAATATACGGTAATAATCCTATTCCTTTCATTGTAGCATCTTGTAGACTTCAGCGTCTTTGTACTAAATGGGTGAAGAAGTAGCAAATGAAGTTGTCTCTTCCCCATTAATTTACAAACATGTGTAATTCGATTAAAAAAAGGAGGGATGACAGTCAAAACAGCAATATTTCTTCAGAAAAAGAGAGAGAGACCGGTCAACATATTTAAGTTTACAAAAATCCATCAAATAGTGCTGGGTTTTAACCTATCCATACATGGAGAACTGCTCTTCTACATTACATCACAGCTGAAGGGTGAAGCAGGCCCCATACCTTCCGGAAAGGAAATAAAGATGACAAATGATTAAAATAAAATACTTCCCAAAGAAGGGAGACCAGGGATAAGAGAGAGAGGCTGGGCTTAGGCTTATTACTGCAGCTGCCATAGCAACTCTGGGGGAATTCAATGAGACCTCCCAGCCTGCATCCAATCACAGAAGGGCAGCCACTGACACTGCCACATTGCCAATCTGCCGGAGGCTAGCCAAACAATCACATGGATAGGGATGTCAGTTGCCATGGTGAGAAACAAACCCTACGATGAGCCTCAGAAACCATCAGGCTTTTATCCTCTGATTGACTCTATGGAGCCCCCCCCCCAAAAAAAGCACAATGATTTTTTGCTGAACTACAGTTCTGGAAATCACTCCTCTAAACCCAGCGTTGGCAAGTTGTTGAGACTCTAGAAAGAGTACAGAGAAGAGCAACAGAGACGATCAGGGGACTAGAGGTTAAAACATATAAGGGACGGTTGCTGGAATTGGGTATGTCCAGTTTAACGAAGAGAAGGACGAGGGGGGACGTGACAGCAGTGTCTCAGGGGTTGCCACAAAAAAGAGGGAGTCAAGCTATTCTCCAAAGCGCCTGAAGGCAGAACAAGAAGCAAAGGATGGAAACTAATCAAGGAGAGAAGCAACCTAGCAACCAACTAAGGAGAAACTTCCTGACAGTGAGCACAATTAACCAGTGGAACAACCTGCCTCCAGAAGCGGTAGGTGCTCCAACACTGGAAGTTTTTAAGAAGAGACTGGACAGCCATTTGTCTGAAATGGTGTAGGGTTTCCTGTCTGAGCAGGGGGTTGCACTACATGACCTCCAAGGTCCCTTCCAACTTAATAATAATAATAATAATAATAATAATAATAATAATAATAATAATAATGCTAGACACTGAAGTCAAGAAAAAGATTAGAGGTGAATACATCAAGAGAGTGAAGAAGATCTTAAAATCCAAACTCAATGGAGGAAATACCATAAAGGCAATCAACACCTTGGCAATCACAGTCATTAGGTACACAGCTGGAATAGTGGACTGGACTCAAGCAGAACTAAAAGCAATGGATAGGCAGACCAGAAAAATAATGACAATGAATCACACGCTTCATCCACGCAGTGACATTGATAGACTTTATCTACCAAGGCAAATAGGTGGGCGTGGAATACTACAAGTACATCAGATGGTTGAAGAAGAAAAAATGGCTTTGGAAGAATATATGAAGAACAATGATGAAGATGCACTGAAATTAGTATATCAGGAAGGCTTACTGACTACTGGAGAGACCAAACTGGCCTACAAGAAAGACCAAATGAAGACCAGAATAGAGGCATGGGAAGACAAAGCACTACATGGCCAATACATGAAAAAAATAGCTGGGAAAGCAGATAATAATAAAACCTGGCAATGGATAAGAGCAGGAAAATTGAAGAAAGAGACCGAGGGACTAATTCTGGCTGCACAAGACCAAGCCCTAAGGACAAATGCATATAAAGTCAAAATTGAGAAGACAGCAACAGACAGTAAGTGTCGCCTATGCAAAGAAGCTGAAGAAACAGTGGACCACCTGGTAAGCTGTTGCAAGAAGATTGCACAGACTGATTACAAACAGCAGCATGACAGAGTAGCAACAATGGTGCATTGGAAGATCTGCAAAAAATATCATTTGCCTGTAAGCAAAAACTGGTGGGATCATAAAATAGAGAAAGTCATAGAAAATGATAAAATTAAACTCCTCTGGGACTTCAGAATTCAAACAGACAAGCACCTGCAACATAACACCCCAGACGATAAGAAAGACAAAAAACTCTGGATAGTGGACGTGGCAGTGCCTGGAGACAGCAGAATAGATGAGAAAGAACTGGAGAAGATAACAAAATACAAAGACCTACAAATAGAAATAGAAAGACTATGGCAAAAGCAAGCAAGGGTAACACCAGTAGTAATAGGCGCCTTGGGTGCAATCCCAAAACAACTGGAGCACCACTTGAACACCATTGGAATTGACAAATTTGCCATTAGTCAATTGCAAAAGGCGGCCTTACTAGGAACTGCTTCCATCCTGCGACGATACCTGTAATACCATCAAACTTCCACATCTGCCTATCCCAGGTCCTGGGTAAGGACTCGATAGGTAGACAAAATGCCAAATCCAGTCTGAACATCTGGCTGACTGTGCGATGCTCGATAATAATAATGCTAGAAAGTTGAGTGCGAACCCTTCTCCCTTCTAGCACTAGTTTGGGTAATGAAACATCTTCTAGAAAACAGCTAAGCTAGGAGAACACCAAGGACCCCACATACATAGATGTCATAGTCATGCAGTGGTTCAGATTTAATTCAGAAGGGATAATTGGGAATGGCTAGAGAGCAAATGCAACGTTTAGCTGTTACTTATTGAAGTAGCCCTCTCTTTTTCAGAATCGCCAGAGACTGCAGCTGCATATTCCTGGAGACTGACGTGACTGCTTTAAGATGACACAGAGACACTGCGCCTGTGTCACCATAATTCCACGGCATTAATTCCAAATCAACTCTGAATTACTGCAGGATCTCCATTGCTACAGATAGGCCAATTATCAGACATAAGGAAAAAAAAAATCTGTCTCATTATAACAGAATATAGTAGCAAGCCATAATACTATTATACATGAGATCTATGCTCTTGATATTCTTTAAAGCGATTAGATCCACCTTTTGCTTTTTTTTTTTTTTCTATTTTCCACTTTTTTCTACTCCTGGTTAATAGGTAATTCAAAAATAATAATTCAGAGCATTTGGAATTATCTACAAGTCCATTAAAATATTCTTGGCTTTAAAATAGATATTCCTCATTAGGGCTTCCTATACTTGCAATAAAAATATCTTTCTTAAAAAAGTTTCAAAAAAATATTGTTTTATTCTGAATAAAGCTGATCGTCATTGACTGTGATTCCAGCCACATTCTTTTTATAGCTTTGCTTTGATTCAGTGTAACCTCTACAAACCTTCATGTTGCTTACTGCAAAAGGTCATCTTCAAACAATAATAAACATGTACAGCTTTAATAGGCTGAAAGCAAAAATGTTGACCAGTTTCTAGGTGGAAAAGCAGCAGTTGACCAGTTTCTAGGTGGAAAAGCAGTTTCTAGGTGGAAAAGCAGCAAAATGTTCCTTTTTTAACCACCACCATCCCGAAAACCATCTCAAGCCTTGCGTGAGGCCTTGCACTGGATGGATAATTAAGATATCCAACCCATAAATGTAACAGGGTTTAATCATGCGGTATTCAAATGTTTGTGCGTGCTTTTCAAACTAAGTTTAAAAAAAAACACAGGATTCACATTTTATAAGATATAATTCACGACTAAATCTGGGATTTGTATTTATTTCTTTTATTGGTATTTATGTTTTTTATTGGTCAGGCAGAGAGAATAAATACTCTAAAGCTATTGAAGACTTTTGACACACTTTAACTATTAACTATACTTTGAAGCAATGGGCTGTCTCACCAAGTAAAGCCTCTAGAAAGGCCATGTACCAGGATATTACTACTGTCAGATAGATGGATGGACTTCTGCTTTCTGCTTTCCAAAATTAGGATTCCCATGATTTACCAATGCAATGAGGATTAAAAATTTAAATTCTGTGATTTAACTGACTTGTCTCACTGGCTTGTTGTAACTAGCTGTTATACCTGAGAAAATGGATGCCCTGTCCCTTACATCTTCACTCATGCAACAATTAATTGAATAATAAAGCATAAGGAAGATTATGCCAACTCTCTTTCCTTCTTTATAATTACATGTTGTTGCCCTGTGTTGATCATTCTGCTCTCTTGCAAACTTTGACACATCAGAATTAACCCTCTCCCCCGATTCTTTTACACATAAAGCACTAATATCTTCAGAGGAATTACTGGAAATCTTTATGTATAAAGATCTCCAATAACTCTATATAAATTTGTCCTCAAGGAATATTTTAAAATTTAAACTCTACATGCACTGTAGAATGAAAATTTAAATTAAACAGAGAACACTCTACTTTTTAAGCAGATGCTCCATACAACAGTATTTATTTCATGCCCGCAGCATGTTTCTAAGTTTTAATATTGTAAACACACAGGACAACTTTGAATGAATCGAATTGTAAAATGTGACAAGGCATAATATATTGGCAGATACGGATACTGCCGTTTCATTTCTTAGAAGACACAGCAGTAAGACATCTGCTTCTTAATTATAAAAGCCTATATATTTCTCAAGCGATGTATGTAAGTATGCTATTTATGTGAAAATAATATTCGTATTACCTGTGGGATAACAGTGTAGATGGGCTTCTAGGTGGAACAAAACAGCCCTAATGGCATTTTGTGTCTAGTGTCAGAATTCTACAAATGAGACCGTTTCAATCAGGATATAATTTAGAAAGACAGACATGCCAAGTATGCTAAATTCTAGGCAATTGAATATTTGGCACAAACTCTACCACACATGATCAGCGAAGCATGCAGATAACTTCATTTGTTTCAGGAACCAAGAAATAAATACAGTTGTGAATATTGGTGCTACTGTTGCCAAGTTAATTACATAATCAGAAAGGGGAAGGCTGACACAGAATGTTTACACCAGTTATTATTATACACTGTTGTGCTGCCACCTAGCCTCTACTCACAAAATTTCTAAAGAGCTGCTTAAATATTCAATATCATACAGCAAAAGCCCCCAACCTTTTGGGCACCAGGGACCGGTTCCATGGAGAAAAGTTTTTCCGGGGAACAGGGAATGCGCGGTTTTCCGTGCTGCCTGCATCCCACGGATGGGGGTTGGGGACCCCCGTCATACAGACTCAACTGTATTTAAATTTGGGGAGGAGAGGGAAGGAAGTTGCACCAAAAATCACCTAGACCAGTGGTTCTCAACCTTTTTAATGCCGCGACCCCCAACCAGTCGTAAGTCGAGGACTACTTAACCGGTCGTAAGTCGAGGACTACTCAACTGGTGCAGCACCGTTTGCAGAATGGGACTTTTGGCGGGCTCAGCAGGGCAGAGACAGCCTGGACAATTCCTATTGGCTTTTGAAAGCCAATAGAATTAGACTCTATTCAAGAGAGTCTATTCTATTGGCTTTGAAAAGCCAATAGAATAAAAGGGAGTAGCACAGCTAAGGAAAAGGGGGAAAAAATGGCGGACTGCGTTGTTTGGCGACCCCCGTGAAATGGTCGTTCGACCCCAAATGGGGTCCCGACCTACAGGTTGAGAACCACTGACCTAGACCTTTTCATACAGCTCAACACACCATGTTTTCAAATACAGGACAGTATTTAGACATTCCCACTGGTGTTTACGTTTCAGCTCCTAAATGGGAAAGATTGTATCTTAAATTTCTGAGCCTGTTTAGTAAAATAAAAAGTTAGTGGATGGTAACAAAGTTGTTAGTAGATGTTTACAAAGTTGACTTTTTCAAAGGGAACCAATTTATCTCTTCAGTAGACAATTTCAGCCTCTGTTTGCATTTATTGCAAACTGGGGGTCAAAGACCAAAAACAGGGTCACAAAATTGGTACGGCTGCTAAAAACAATGATCCACTCTAAAAACAAATACAATCTTTCTGAACCTTGCAGAAATCCAAATAAAAACTCTTGACTGCTCAAGAAATAAAATACTACAGCCAAGACTCTTAAGAACCCTAGCATAGGCTTTTTAAGTACAAATATTTTCAGAGCATTAAATTTAATACATCTTAATGTCTTCATATTAATATTCCCTCCTGTCTGATTTCCAGGCTTCAGGGCAGGTTTCACATAACTATGGAAGATATTGCAGGCAGCCTCACAACCAACCATTTGTTTAGTGACTGTTTGAAGCTAAAATAACACTGAAAAAAGTGACTTGTGATTGTTTGTCACACATGACTGTTGCAGCCTCCCTGTGGTCACGTGATTAAAATTAGACACTTGGTATTTACGATGGTGGCAGTGTCCCAGGATCACGTGATCCCCTTCTGCTATCTTCTGACAAGTAAAGTCAATGAAGGAAGCCATGGCAAACAACATTGCAAAATGGGGCAAAATTCACTTAAGAGCTATCTCACTTAGCAACAAAAATTGTAGTTGTAAGCTGAGGGCTACCTAGAGATAGAAGCCAATCACTAAATTAGATTTCTTTAAACAGGACAACTGGAAAATTCATATTGTGATGATAAAGGAGGCTTCTGTGGGACTTTAAGAAAGCAGCATGTGATATTAGCATATAGCAGTGGTAGGCAACCTTGGCTCTTTTATGACTCGTGGACTTCAACTCCCAGAATTCCTGAGCCAACCATGCTGAGGGGAAAGGGGGAGGTTTCCAAGCTGAGCCATGCTGGCTCAGGAATTCTGGGAGTTGAAGTCCACGAGTCATAAAGCGGCCTAGGCCTAGGCCTAGGCTAGAGGTAGGCAACTTTTGCTCTTTTATGACTCGTGGACTTCAACTCCCAGAATTCCTGAGCCAGCCATGCTGAGGGGAAAGGGAGAGGTTTCCAACTGAGCCATGTTGGCTCAAGAATTCTGAGAGTTGAAGTCCACGCGTCATAAAAGAGCCAAGGTTGCCCACCCCTGGCATATAGTATCAACATTCTTCGTCAAATGAAGAATTCAAGTTTTCCAACTTTCCCCACTTCCCACAAGATATCGGTCCCAGACTTCCAGCTTAATATCAAGCCTTTACAAACTTCCTGATGCATCCTCAATTTCCACAGGCCATTGGTCAAAGACAAAAATATAGAATACTCAATATCCTCAACACGGCAACATCCTAAGCAGCTATTTTTCAAACAAGACTGACCACTGTTGCTCCTGAGCTGCAAAAACACATCTAAAGAATTTTGAAGAGCAGGACTTTATTTTAACTTTTTTTTTATTTAAAATATGTCAAATAAATACTTCAAAATACCATTGAGTGAATTCAGTATTAATTTACTGACAAGATCTTAACATAATCAAACAGTACCAAAGGTTACAACTGCAAAAGCAATATAAGCAAAAGGCGCTTATTTCTACATTTAAAGATCAACCAAGCTTATAAAGGCAGCTGGTTATATTAACTGGTCTCCCCTCTATTTCTAATTTCTCCAATTATTCTCATTTCCTGCCTTTATGCAAACTGGGATCTTCGTAAATGCTGCATGGGCTGTGGAATTCTCCAGAAAATGATAGCGTTAATGTGAGATACAACAGAGATAATTGCAAGCTATTCTCCAAAGCGCCCGAAGGCAGGACAAGAAGCAACGGATGGAAACTAATCAAGGAGAGAACCAACCTAGAACTAAGGAGAAACTTCCTGACAAGTTGAGAACAATTAACCAATGGAACAACCTGCCTCCAGAAGCGGTAAATGCTCCAACACTGGAAGTTTTTAAGAAGAGACTGGACAGCCATTTGTCCAAAATGGTATAGGCTTTCCTGCCTGAGCAGGGGGTTGGACTAGATGACCTCCAAGGTCCATTCCATCATCATCATCATCATATTATTATTATTAACAAAGAATACGTACGATGCTATTCATTTCTGAGGAATCATAACTGCCGCATGGATGGACGCTCCCAATGGGCTCCAGTCCTTCTTCATCCCACATGTAGGTCCCATCGGAGCTGTCAGATGGGGATAGCTCAAAAGAGGAACCAGCTCTGTAATCCATTTCCGAAGAAATTTCATTGTTCCCAATGGGATGTTTGGCACTTTCACTCTTGTCATCCACTTCTTAAATAAAAGGGGGGGAAAAAAAACTAAATACAATACAGTATACAGATTCTTAATTGAACACTTCAGTATTTCCTTTTTCGGGACTAAGGCGCTTGAGTAAACTTTGATCACATCCAAACAGTCTCAAATTGTATTCATTGACCCACACAGGACGCTAATCCACACTAGCTCAGTCTTCTCCTACTGAAGGAGAGGCCCTGGACTCGTTACGCCATTCCTCTGCAGGCTAAGCCAAAGGCTGTGAACCCACAATGTGCTACCCTAGTCAACAATCACACTTTTAAGGAAGCTTGTCTTGGTTAGTGAACCTGAATCAGCTTCCCCAGAAGACCAGAGTTTACCCAGAAAAAAGCAAGTGGACTGGATCCTGGGTTCATACTGAAATGGCGCTAATCTTGAAGATTTACTTAGAAATTACAACTGATGCCAATGTCTATGGAGAGTCTCAGGCATCCAGATCATGGTTGTCCCAAAGATGTTTTTGTTTTTTTTCAAAAAGCAACTAGGAAGAAGAAGCTTCTTGGATGAGAAGTGAAAAATTTTCAAGGAGGAAAAAAAAACTCAAGAAAATCTAATTGCCTTTCGGAAAAAGCATCTTTGGGACAACCATGATCTGGATGATTGAGAATCTCCATAGACATTAAGCACCTTTTAGGCTGAAAATGTTAGCTTTCAAGGGTTCAGGTTGCACCGTTAACTCAAATATAACATATAAATATATAAGGAACGGTTGCTGGAATTGGGTATGTCTAGTTCAGGGAAGGCAACCTCGGCTCTTTTATGATTCATGGACTTCAACTCCCAGAATTCCTGAGTCAGTTGAAGTCCATGAATCATAAAAGAGCCGGGGTTGCCTACCCCTGGTCTAGTTTAACGAAGAGAAGGACGAGGGGGGACATGATAGCAGTGTTCCAATACCTCAGGGGTTGCCCCAAAGAAGAGGGAGTCAAGCTCTTCTCCAAGGTGCCTGAAGGCAGGTCAAGAAGCAATGGATGGAAACTAACCAAGGAGAGAAGCAACCTAGAACTAAGGAGAAACTTCCTGACAGTTAGAACAATTAACCAGTGGAACCACCTGCCTCCAGAAGCAGTGAATGCTCCAACACTGGACGTTTTTAAGAAGAGACTGGACAGCCATTTGTCCGAAATGGTGTAGGGTTTCCTGCCTGAGCAGGGGGTTGGACTCGATGACCTCCAAGGTCCCTTCCAACTTTATTATTATTATTATTTGAATTTTAACATTATTTGAAAAGCGAATATATATGTGGACTTTCAAGTGCCGAATGTTCAGGATTAACAACATTAATAAAGAAGTTAAATAGAGATAAGGGGAATTTTGGTCATTAAATTTAAAATATTTGGAAATTAGTTAAAAATAAGGATGCTATTTGTTTAATACTTAAAAATTAGAACCCAAAAAAAATATTATGTTTGATTTATTGATTAACCCAGACAATATATATAAAATGGGCTTTGATTTATTAAAGGGGATGGTATTATTAATTAGATGATGTAAGATGGGGGGAAATAGATAACTTTTAGGAAATAGAACAAGATTATATCCAAATAGATGTGTACTTGGAATATTAGACTCTGTTATGAATTGAGATAAAGGAAACTTTGGTTACCTAAAACCTGGAAATTATAAATGTCAAATGTTAAATTTGAACATTGATGGGAAACTAAAAATTGGGAAAAACTAATAACAGGACATTGGTTGAATGTAAAGACTGAATGTAAAAATAATTAAGATATGTATAAGCTAAAAACCTATTGATACATGTAATAATGATGTTTTTATTTAGTTGATATAGTAAGAACTGTATTAGCTTAAATATGATAGTAGATATTAAGGGAAAAAGAGAGGAAATATTTGAGGTTGTGGTTTGAGATTTATATTAAATTTTTTGTATGTTACTGAACTATTGATTAACTCAGCCACCACGCTGCTTTTTAAATACCTAAATGTAAAATTAGAAAATTAATAAAAAAAATATTTTTTAAAAAAGAAGTTAAACAGTGGAATGGTTATTTGATAAGAGGTACCAACATCTTATCTGTTCCATTCCTGACCACTTTCTACAGGGGGACGATCAAGAGCATCCTGTCATACGGCATCACAGTCTGGTTTGGAGGCATCACTGCTTCAGATAGGAAGGCGGTGCAGAGAGTGGTGAGGACGGCTGAAAAGATCATTGGCAGCTCCCTCCCTCCCATCCAGGACATAGCACAGAGGCGTTGCTTGAGCAGGGTCCGTAAGATTATCTGGGACTCTACACATCCTCTTCACAACCTGTTTTCCTTGTTCCCTTCTGGGAGGAGGGGGCTTCCTGGTATCCAAAGCAGAACATCCAGATTCAGCCAGAGTTTCATTCCATACAGCATGAACCTTGTGAACTCTCAAGCTTCCTCCTTCCGTTATATATTCAAGATGGACAATATTTAATATTTATTTGCTACGTATATGTAGGGATGTGGGTCTATACATATGTTGTTCATAGTATGTTTAGGTGTGTGTCATGTATGTGTTTCACTTTGAGAGCGGGCAACTCAATTTCATTTTTGATGTGTGCCGTTGTGCCCACAGTATAAAAATGACAATAAAGGTTATCTTATCTTCTAAAATAAGCACTGGAAAAAAACACCCTGCCTATTTACCTGACATATGTATATGCAACCATTCCTCATTATTGCAGTTCGACTTCTCGTTGTCCTCAAAAGATAGTAACTGTGGTGGTATTCCGTTTCTACCTTCCAGCTTTTCAGCAGGAACGTTCTCTTCTCCGATTAGGATGGTTCGGCTGGGATCTTCCAAGTCTATGAAATCATCGCTAAAATCTTCACTAAGGTCATTTTTCTCCGAAGAGGATAGAGAAGATATTGATATTTCATCCACGTCGCCATCCATGCACATTTTACAGCTGCTCTCCACAAAATCGTTGCTCTGAGTTTCTTTTGCATCGGCGTCTCTTTTAGCGTCCGCGGAATCTTCCAGATCTTCCATTAAACTATTCGCGGGGCCTTTCCGGGCGCTGCCATCCACAGGGGTCTTTCTACCCAAAGGCTGGTTCACGGGCTTCAGCAATGAAGGGCGGCCTGATCTGAACCTCAGAGGAGAGGCGTCCCCCGAACCGTTGAAGAGGGGCTGTTTCTTGACGTGGGAAGGTGCTAGAGCAGCCAACGACCTAGGAAACTCATACCTCGCAGGTTCATTCCCGTTGGGCGCGTCTAACTGGCGCGCACTTCTTGACAGGAGATTCGACCTCTGGGATGGTCTAAGAGGCAGGTGTTGACTCTGGTAAGGCCTTGTCAGATCCACTGCTCTGTTAAACGAGTGGGATCTGGTAAGAGATGCAGGAGGCAAAAGAGAGCTTGGAAGGGAATGTGAGAAGCTTTGGGACCGGACCATTTTTTCACAAGAGGGTGGGACATTGTCTGTGGATCTCCCCAGGCTCTCCCCTGAGCTACTCCGAGGGACAAAAGGATTCCCTCTAATCCTCTGCAAGCCTGTCACCGATTGGTTCCCACAAACCCCGTTCAACGGCGGTTTTGGGGCGTTAAATCCAGAGTAGGGAGTCCTGCTTAACAAAGAACTTTTGGCATACTTCGAATTAGACAGACCGGGCAAACATTTCTGATGGAATTCTTCTGCAGGGGATACCAACATGTTGTCTTGCTTCGCTGTTTTGGAAAAAGGGGTCTTTGAAGTGGTCCTGAGTACTTCCTGACTAACTGATCCTTCAGAGGGGGGACGTTTTTCCCACCCGGTCACTCGTTCCCTGGGATCCTGACTGGAGTTATATTCATTACCGATCCGACTTCCCAGAGGGAATTTGTTAGACTTCCTCCAGTTAAAAGCAAAGGAAGACAGGCGAGCGGTGCCATTGTGCTTGCTGAAATTTTTGTCAATGATCTGCGTATTCCCTGAAAGGTGAGGAGCCGTCCCATTTGGAACAGGCTGGGCGGTACTTCCGGCAGGCTTTGTTCCATATTTGGGTAATCTGGAAACCAAAGACGCCCTGGTGTGAGCTTTTTCTTCCATGTGCTATAGCCCTTCCATGCGATATAGCCTTCCAACACGGACTCTGAAGAAAAGAAAACAGGGAGATATTAACGTTAAGGCCTGCCCTTCCAAGAGAAATACATTAATTTGTTAAACAGAATAAACCTGACACTTAAATAAGTGGAACATCTTCACTTTAGGGAGAATTTATCTACATGGGGAAAAAAAATGCTTTACCAAGAGATCAACTAATTATAACAAGCATGCAATATCTCACCAATGCTATTTGAGGAGGATATTTATTAGATTTTCTCCAGCAAAAAAAAAAAAAAGACAGAAGACAATGTGTAGTGCCATTGTGCTTGCAGAAAGGTTTGTCAGCAGTCTGTATTATTTTTTCTGAAAAATTAGCAGCAGATTGGAACAGAGAAGGATTTAGGAGAAAGGACTCTTAATGATTGATTCTTTGTCTATTCACCTAAGGCAGGGGTAGGCAACCTTGGCTCTTTTATGACTGATGGACTTCAACTCCCAGAATCCCTGAGCCAGCATAGCTCAGTTTGGAAAACTCTCCCTTTCCCCTCAGCATGGCTGGCTCAGGAATTCTGGGAGTTGAAGTCCACGAGTCATAAAGCAGCCTAGGCCTGAGATAGGTAACCTTGGCTCTTTTATGACTGGTGGACTTCAACTCCCAGAATCCCTGAGCCAGCATGGCTCAGCTTGAAAACCTCTCCCTTTCCCCTCAGCATGGCTGGCTCAGGAATTCTGGGAGTTGAAGTCCACCAGTCATAAAAGAGCCAAGGTTGCCTACCCATGACCTAAGGAGCCCATTCAGATTAGGTGAGAACTGAAACCTCCCTGGAGGACATATATGCCCCTCCCCAGCCAACTTGCTCAGATTGAAGAAGCTACTTGGATAAGCAGCAAAACATTTCAAAGGCAAAAGGAAAAAGAAGTCCTGATTCAACTTCCAGACAACTCAATCTTCATCAACAACAGATTAGAAAGTTTTGTTCTACACTTCAGTAACCTGCAAACCAAAGACGTCCATTAATAAGTTTTTTCTGATAGATTCTGTCATCCTTCCATGTGATATAAGCTTCAAATACCGCTAGCATTTTTCGATCTGCTTCAATCTGACATGTTAACAATGCCATCAACCGAAACACAGAGAAAACCCATCTATGCAGCGTTTAAAAGCTCATGGAGGAAACAACTAATCAGGGCAGCCAACACCCAGAGAAGCAGAAACTGTGATGACCCAGGGCACAGCACAGAGACAATGCAGTCAGCTGGCAATTCAAACCGCCCTTTAATTGCTCCAAATTTTCCCCGAATGCTCCCACATTTCTGGCAAGCCTCCAAACAAAGGAAGACACACACACCTTCAGCTGTCTCTGGCTGCAAGTAGTCTGATTAGGAGAGGAATTTACTCAAGGCCATGGAGATAACAAGGAATGACACATACATCATAAATCTAAGGAGTCTGTGTGAATACATGCTTGCCTGAGCAGTCTCAGAATGGAAGCCAAAATACAGTCCAAGTTCCTTAAAGACAACATCCAAGCAATGTTGTCAGCCAGTCCAATGGTCAGAGTTTCCGGGTTTCCAAGCAGAAATCATAGAACAAGAGATCAGCAACCACACACACAACACTCCAAGGAATCAGCGTTTGTTCCCGACAAATGCCTCTCCCCACAGCATCTTCTTAAATCTCAGTCTCCAGGTATGCCTTGTGGAGAGGGGCGGGATGCTCTCCTCCTGAGTAGCTGAGCCTGCCTGCGTTGTTCCCTCCTTCTCTCCACTCTCCATGCTCTAGGATCAGGTGGGGGTGGCCCCTGCTCATCGCCTGAATTCTGTCTCTCCTGTTCCTCCTGTCCCAATCCTGAAGGGCCCTGGCCTGCCTCGGCCTGCTCTTCCCCACATTCCTCTGAAGCCACAGACACCTTTTCCCCAACCTCCTTAGGGTCCTGTTCCAGCTCATTTTCCTTCGCAGATTCAGGCTCTGACAGAGGCATGACAGGAACCAGCAAAAGAGAAACAATAAGGAAAGAAGCAATATCCTAATCAAGGAACCATCAAGGAAGAAACAATGGCACATCAAGATGGCGTGGCCAACTACATTAAACCACCAAACTTCACCCTCCAATCTTCACTGATGTGACACAGTGTGTTGATGAGAAGTCTGCAGGAAAACAATCTCATTCAGAGAACACAAACAACTCAATAGTCCAATAATATCTTATTATTACAATGTTATTATTAAACTGTCCACATATTAGGGTAGATCCAAACTGGTGGGCATTTTATGGATCAGATGGTTATTTTACTTAAATTATTAAATATGCTAGTAAGTCATTTTAAGCACTCTGTACATGACAAAACTGGCCATACAATTTGTGTGATTACCCTGTTTAAATAAATACAATTTAACATACAGGTTAGGGAGAGGCACTAGGAATTAATAGCATTGTATATTCACATGTTTTTTGCATCTGTAACCAACAACACAGCCATTTCTCCATCGTGGGCAACCAGCTTATTTTTTTTCTCCAAGGCTGGAAATGTAATCTCTTTAAAACACAGGCAGTCCTCGACTTACAACAAATTCATTTAGGGACTGAAGTTACAACAGCTCTGAAACAAGTGACTTATGACTCTTTATTTTTCACACTTATGACCATCACAGCATCTCCACCACCAAATGATCAAAATTTGGACACTTGGCATATATTTAGGAGAGTTGCCCTGTCCCAGGGTCACGGGATCGCCATTTCCAACCTTCCCAGTTGCTTCCACCAATCAAAGCCAATAGGATAAGCCCGATTTGCTTAATGACCTCACGATTCACTAAATAACTGCAACAAAATCACTTAACCCAGTGATTCTCAACCTGTGGGTCGGGACCCCATTTGGGGTCGAACGACCATTTCACGGGGGGTCGCCAAACAACGCAGTCCGCCATTTTTCCCCCCTTTTCCTTAGCTGTGCTACTCCCTTTTATTCTATTGGCTTTTGAAAGCCAATAGAATAGACTCTCTTGAATAGAGTCTAATTCTATTGGCTTTCAAAAGCCAATAGGAATTGTCCAGGCTGTCTCTGCCCTGCTGAGCCCGCCAAAAGTCCCATTCTGCTACGCTTCGGCCGGCGCAGGGGGCGGCACCACGCATGCGCGGTGCTCCCGGGCAGGCAAAGTCCTCAACTTACGACCGGTTGGATAGTCCTCGACTTACAACCGGTTGAGGGTCACGGCATTAAAAAGGTTGAGAACCACTGACTTAACACCTGTGACAAAAAAATCGTAAAATCAGGCGCAACTCTCTTAATTATCCTACTTAGCAACGGGAAATTTTGGGCTCAACTGTGGTCGTTAAGCCAAGGGCTACCTGTACTGCTCCAACTCAGGTGTAATGTTGGCTGCTATTATTCCCCTATGGGAGAAGACCATTCAACTCATCCATCTGCATTCCCCTCCGCCAGGACAGCCTCTGATTAAAAAAAAAATAATCATCTGATGGCCACATCCTAGATTTCTAAGTAGACGGCATGAGAACCAAGCTGTTATTTCCCTCCCCGTTTCCTGGAAGAATCTCCAAAGCACAAGGTTGCTGGAATTGGGTGGGCAACCGTGGCTCTTTCAGAACTTGTGGACTTCAATACCCAGAATTCCTGAACCAGCCATGCTGACTCAGGAATTCTGGGAGTGGAAGTCCACAAGGCATAAAAGAGCCAAGGCTGCCTACCCCTGGTCTAGTTTAATGAAGAGAAGAACTAGGGGTGACATGAGAGCCGTGTTCCAATATCTCAGGGGCTGCCCCAAAGAGGAGGGAGTCAAGCTATTCTCCAAAGCGCCTGAAGGCACGACAAGAAGCAAGGGTGGAAACTAATTGAAGAGAGAAGCAACCTAGAACTAAGGAGAAATTTCCTGAGAGTTAGAACAATTAATCAGTGGAACAACCTGCCTCCAGAAGCTGTGAATGCTCCAACACTGGAAGTCTTTAAGAAGAGATTGGACAGCCACTTGCCTGAAATTGTATAGGGCAGGGGTAGGCAACCTTGGCTCTGTTATGACTCGTGGACTTCAACTCCCAGAATTCCTAAACCAGCCATGCTGAGGGGAAAGGGAGAGGTTTCCAAGCTGAGCCATGCTGGGTCAGGAATTCTGGGAGTTGAAGTCCACAAGACATGAAGAGCCAAGGTTGCCTACCCCTGGTATAGGATTTCCTGCCTGAGATGACCTCCAAGGTCCCTTCCAACATTATTATTATTGTTGTTGTTCTTGTTGTTGAAGGAGAAATCAGCCTGCATTCCTTGCTCACTAAAACCTAAACTCTTTTCCTCAAAGTGCTTCCAGACTGAAGGACAGATTCACAAATTCCTTAAATGAAAGTTCAAGGGTTGTGTGCCATTCATACACCACTGCAATGCTGATCTTCCTTTCTCTGCTGATAGATGATGTTCGACAATGACATAGCTGCTTTAAAGAGCTGCATACAAGAATCTGAATCTGCACAGCCTACTAGATCTTTTTCTCAAATTTAACTTCTTCACTTGCCCAGAGTTAATTTTTATTATTTAGAAAGATAGCTGGTTATTAAGCTTGAGCAAGAGAACAAATTAATTTGGAAAGGGGAAAAACTGATGAGAAAACGTAATTGAAAACCCTTGGATTCTAGGCTATTTTATTCCGATTAGTACATTTTAAAAATCCTCTGAGTAAATTGTAACTCACAATTAAGATCAGCAATATCATTTGTACTTTCTAATTCAAGATTCTACTTTAACATGTAAATCCATTTAATATATAAACAGATTAGATACGTTAAACCTCTGTACTTAATTGGGTCAGTTACTTAGCCATTATTTTATGTTACTGGTTGAAGAGAAAACATAAATACTAATACAAAAGTGATACTTAAAATTAAACTTTCTACAAAAAAATGGAAGAAAAGCTATTCAGAAATGTAGACTATAGTATGTTTATTAATATACTCTGATGATTCATATCATATCATCTTCGTCATCAAAATTACTACTGGAGGTTGATCACTTTACAATCAGCCAGTGACAAATCTGTGATTCTTTCTTCCCATTTGATCAGAAGAGAAGCGCCAAGAGCAGTTTCTATACATTAGAAGAAATTGCCATATTCTTAAAATAATATATCTTTTATGTAAACGAAAGCTATTCTTGAGAGGTCTATTTTGAGATGTGCATTTTAAAACTGAGATAATGACTCCACCATTATCTCAGTTTTATTATTATTCCAACTTTCATTACTGTATTAGAGCAGTTCTTCTAGAGGAGACTTTCAAGGATTGTAATAAGGAAAATAAAAATATGTTTTAATCCTCTTAAAGATCTTCTCTTTCTAGTAGAGGGATTAGTGGGCTCTGCAATAGGAGCCGACATCTGCTCTCACCTTTTTTCACCTTTCTGTGCTATCCTGGAAATCTTCCCACTTAGCTATTGATTTAGAGCAGTGGTTCTCAACCTGTGGGTTGGGACCCCATTTGGGGTCGAACGACCATTTCACGGGGGTCGCCAAACAACGCAGTCCGCCATTTTTTCCCCCTTTTCCTTAGCTGTGCTACTCCCTTTTATTCTATTGGTTTTTGAAAGCCAATAGAATAGAATCTCTTGAATAGAGTCTAATTCTATTGGCTTTCAAAAGCCAATAGGAATTGTCCAGGTTGTCTCTGCCCTGCTGAGCCCACCAAAAGTTCCATTCTGCAAACGGTGCTGCACCAGTTGAGTAGTCCTCACGACCGGTTGAGTAGTCCTCGACTTACGATCGGTTGGGGGTCGCGGCATTAAAAAGGTTGAGGACCACTGATTTAGAGGGACCTATGGCACAGGAAGGTTTTATGTCTGCCTCCAACTAAGGGAGTCACATTTTGTTAATCATTATATGTTGTCACAGAACAGGCATCTACTGGTTCGTGGGTTAGGTATGGATTTTACATGAGGTTAGGAAAGCCACGGAAGAGTTAATTCCAGACAGCACAGAGACTTTTTCTGACAAACTGAAGAGGAACCATGGATGTCTCAACCATGGCTTAAATCCTGGAGACCCCTGAGTCCCTAAAGGCTTTTCATGGCAAGAAGCAGAGATAAGAAAGAGGGTTGGGGGATGGGGATAGAAAAAAATGTTTCTTAACTATTGTCTATGGAGATTCTCAATCATCCAGGTCATGGTTGGGCCAAAAGTGCTTTTTCCAAAAGGCAAATGGATTTTCTTGGGGTTTTTTTCCTCCTTTTTTTCCTTCAAAACTAAAAAAGCTTCTCGGATGAGAAGCAAAAAGTTTTCTGAAGGAAAAAAAACCTAGCAAGTCCAATTGCCTTTTGGGAAAAGCACCTATGGCGTTTCTCAGCTAAATTTCCAAACAACAGAGTGGGTTGAAACAGAGGGAGGCTACAGGCACGTTTTTAGAAAGTAAACAGATTTCCCAAAAACAGTAACACAGCTTTTGCAGTAGCTCTTAACGCTTCCACAGACATTACAACTCATGCTGCATTTAGTCACCGCCGCCACCCACCCCACCTACTCATGAAGACAAAACCCTTCCTTGGCTAGTCAACAACTATTCTTGCGATTGCATTTGGGTTCTGGCTCCCGTTTGACCCCACCCTTTCGCCAAGGTGCTCTGGGCGATGCATATCCCTCTTCCCGTCCTTTCATTCTTCCCTGTGTCTGGGGAGGAAGGCAGGGATGAGCGGAAGTGACTGGCCAGAATTGAGTACGGAGGTCAGCCTCAACTGAAAGGTTGCCTTTAATTAATCCTTGGAGTGAGAAGCCTTTTGTGCTGGGCGGGCACTGCTCTTCCCCCCCCCCTTCTCCCCAGCTGTGCGGAGGAGACCCTCCCCTGTGCCCTGGGGAAGGAGACCCTCTTGGCAGGTCCCAAGGCAGAGGGCCAAGCCTGCCCATCCTAGCAGGCTCCCTTTCTGCAAAGATGGGGGAAAGAGGCACCCAGGGCATTTCTGTGTGGCTCAGGAGCCAGAGAGCAAAGCCCCAGTAAGACCAGGAGTGCCTCTCTCTCTTTCTCTTCTAAAGAAACCGTCCCTTTCATGCATTTGTCTGAGAGACATGGGCAGTTCAAAAATAAATACATGGATAGAGAGAGAGAGAGGGAAAGAGAGAAAAGAGAAGGTAGGTAAATAGATAGGGGAGAGGGGAGGAATAGGGAGAGAGAGAGAAAGAAAGAGAGAAAAGAGAAGGTAGGTAAATAGATAGGGGAGAGGGGAGGAATAGGGAGAGAGAGAGAAAGAAAGAGAGAGAGAGAGAGAGAGAGAGATGAATGAGATAGATATAGATATAGATATATAATGAATGAGATAGATAGATAGATAGATAGATAGATAGATAGATAGACAGATAGATGAATGAGATGGATAGATAGATAGATAGATAGATAGATAGATAGATAGATAGATAGATAGATATAGATAAATGGATAGATAAATACATAGAGATAGATAGATGAATGAATGAAAGATAGATATAGATAGATGAATTAGATATATATAGAGATGAATGAGATAGATGATAGATACAGCAGATAGAGATAGATAGAAATAAATGAATGAGATAGATTGATAGATATCGATAAATGAGATAGATAGATAGATAGATAGATAGATAGATAGATAGATAGATAGATAGATAGATAGATAGATAAGATAGGCAGGCAGATAAAGAGAGAGGGAGGAATAGGGAGAGAAAGAGAGAGAGGGAAAGTGAGGCAGAGGGATAAATAGAGGGAGGGACAGAGGGACGGGCAGAGAGAGAGGGATAGAGAGAGAAAGGGAAGGAGAAAGAAAGGAGGCACTCCTGGCTCAAAGCATTCCAGCCATTGGGAAACAGGGACTCTGGGGGGGGGGGGCTCCTTCCTTCTTTCCCAGGCTTGGGGGTCCCCTGGCGTGGCTGCCACCGATTCCCACCCTCCAGGAGACCCCACCGAGGCTCCCGCACGCCAAGGGGACTTTTGCCAACCTTTCCCTCCCGGGAAACGTCGCCCTCCCCGGAGGTCCCCCCACTCACCGCAGGAGCAGGCGAGGCGGCGGCCGTCTTCGGAAGAGGAGAAGGAGGAGGAGCCCGCCCGCCGCTGGTCCAACCCCGGAACTGGCCGCCGGCTCTGCTCCCTCCCCCCCCACCACGCGGACAGCTGATGTTGCGTCACCCTTGGCGCAGGCGCACTGCCGCTTGGCCGCCGCCGCCCCGCCCGCCCGCCCAGCGAACGTTCCACTGGCCCCGCCCCCTCCCCGCAACGGCTTTTCCCGCTTGGATTCAAATCTGGAGGGGGCGGGGCGGGAACAGAAGGAGTTTTAATGCTGCTCCATGCCGTCCATCCCCCGGCAGTGGCGTCCAATGCTCAAGCTGCCCCCTTGGGGAAATTAAATAAGGAGGCATAGGGCAGGGGTAGGCAACCTCGGTTCTTTTATGACTCGTGGACTTCAACTCCCAGAGTTCCTGAGCCAGCAGGGCTCAGCATGGAAACCTCTCCCTTTCCCCTCAGCGTGGCTGGCTCAGGGATTCTGGGAGTTGAAGTCCACCAGTCATGAAAGAGCCCAGGTTGCCTACCCCTGGCATAGGGGCAGATGTCTGCGGGGTCCTTGGTGCTCTCTGAGTTGGGAGGCTTTTTTTTTTTTTTTTTTTGCAGACATTTCATGATCCGAGTAGGGAAGAGCATCAATGCGTGGGGCACACCGATGTTCCCAGCCCATATGGTTGGCTAGCAATTTCTGGGAGGGAGATCTCTAAAAGAAGAACTAGCTTTCTTTCTGTGGGGTCATTGGGTGCCCTCTAACCTTGGACTTTCCTTTTTGTTTTGCAGAGGTTTCATTATGCTGCACTGATGATGATGTAACCTACTTGGGTTGGTTACACGGGATGGGGAAGAAATGGAGGAAGTGACAGATTTTATCTCCAAGATCACCGCAGATGGGGACTGCAGCCAAGAAATTAAAAGATGCTTGCTCCTGGGCAGGAAAGCTATGGCAAATCTAGACAGCATACTAAAAAGCAGAGATGTCACCCTGCCAACAAGAGTGTGTATAGTCAAGGCCATGGTTTTCCCAGTTGCAATGTATGGCTGTGAAAGTTGGACCATAAGAAAGGCTGAGCGCCAAAGAATGGAGGCCTTTGAACTATGGTGCTGGAGAAGACTCCTGCGAGTCCCTTGGACTGCAAGGCGATCAAACTGGTCAGTCCTAGAGGAGATCAACCCTGACTGCTCTTTAGAAGGCCAGATACTGAAGTTGAAACTCAAGTATTTTGGCCACCTAATGAGAAGGAAGGACTCACTGGAGAAGAGCCTAATGCTGGGAAAGATTGAGGGAAACAGAAGAAGGGGACGACAGAGAATGAGGTGGCTGGATGGAGTCACTGAAGCAGTAGGCCTGAGTTTCAATGGACTCCAGAAGATGGTTGAGGATAGGAAGGCCTGGAGGAATGTTGTCCATTGGGGTCACGATGAGTCGGACACGACTTCGCAACTAACAGCAACAACTTGGGTCATGAGATGTTTGCAAAAAAGCAGTCAGGCTCAGAGAGTATCAAGGACCCCTTCAGTCCTCCTTTCCACAAACCCTACTCCCTTCCAGCACTAATGAGGTTGCCTAGGAAGGAAACAGTTAAGCTCAGAGAGCACCAAGGATCCCTCAGTTCAACCCTGAGTTATAAATCTCTGTTGGTATGGAGATTTCTGTCCAGCCCCAGCATGCCCATGGGAAGCTGCCTCCAAGTTTATTTTGCTACTATCAGGAGTCCCTGCATGTGCTTCCCTTAAATTCTTTCTGCGTGCAAGAAATCCCATTCAGTAAAGGAAGGAAATAAATGTAATAGTACTATGATCAGACTTCTCAAAGCAGATACATTCCCATCCATCCATAATTCCTCACCATGAGACAAAGAATGTGACTACTTTAAAGAATAATTTTCAGATGCCCATTTGGAGTTAGTCAAATCAATGCTGCGTAGAACCCATGGTAATGTAACACTTAACAGTGCTTGGCAAGTAAAGATGTACTTTCATGGTTTTTGAAAAGAATTATTGTATCAGAGCAAGTGTGACTGTACAACCCATTCTAAATCCAGTAGATAAAGCAAGAAATGGAGCTGACTTGTTGCAGCTTGAACACCAATAGCAAAAAAAAATACTGTTTTGTTGAAAAGACAAGAATCACATTCCAAATTTGGTTAGACCCATTCAAGTTCTTTATTGTACAAGTACAGGGAGTCCTTGACGTACAACAGTTTGTTAAGTACAAAGTTACAACTGCACTGAAAAATGTGACTTATGACTGTTTTTCACAATTATGACCTTCGCAGCATCCCCGTGATCATGTGATCAAAATTGAGACATTTGGCATCTGGTTCGTGTTTATGACCTTTGCTGTGTCCCAGGGTCATGTGATCCCCTTTTGTGACCTTCTGACAAGCAAAATCAATGGAGAAGCCAGATTCTCTTAACCAGGGCTTTTCAACTGGTGATATGTGTACCACCAGTGGTACTTTGGCATGTGGCAGGTGGTATGCGACCCTCCTAGACAAGTATAGCGGGCAAGGGGAATGAGCTGAAGCGACACAAGCCTAAGGGAGAGGCAGCTGGAGCTGCAGGACTGTCGGGGTTTGGCAGAAGCCCCAGGAGCACCACAGGGCTTCAGCTGATTGGCACTTCCTTAGCTGGAGGTGAACTGAAGACAAAAGGGGGGAGGAGAGGAGAGGATATAAGAGGAGGTGGTTTTGGCGGGAAAGGGGACAAGAAGAAGCTGTGGAAGGAGAGCTCAACAGGCAGGGAGGAAAAAGAGACAGGGAAGAAGACACGACTTCGCAACTAACAACAAGTGATTTATCTTCTTTTTTTTCAATCTGTCAGCCTTCAGGATCTTCATTTAATGGTTTTCAGGTAGACTTAACAGTTCTACGCAGAATCATCCTCAACTTACAACCGTTCCTTTAGTGATCATTCGAAGTTACAACAACACTGAAAAACGTGACTTACGGCCATTTTTCACCCTTATGACCGTTGCAGCATCTCCATGGTCATGTGATCAAAATTCAGACTTTTGGCAACGGACTCATATTTATGACGGTTGCCATGCCTTGGGGTCTTGTGATTAGCTTCGGCGACCTTCTGACAAGCAGTCATTGGGAAACCAGATTCACTTAACAACCGTGTTACCAACTTAACAATTGAAGTGATTCATTTTAACACAACTGTGGCAAGAAAGGTCGTAAAACGGGGAAACAGAAATGTTGGGCTTAATTGTGGTTAAGGACTACCTGTCCTGAATTAGATACCTCAAATGTGATATTGCATTCTGGAGACTTTCTGTGTTCATAGTTATTACTGGTTGATCTTGACTTTTTTTAAAAAAATTCATGAATTATGTAATTCTGTCTTGGTTTTATTACCGCCATATCCTACTTGAGGTTTATTTAATCATGAAAAGCAGGCAACATATTTGAACAAAAATTTTTTAAAAAAATAATTTAGTTTGCATTGTTAGCCATTTTTATGCTGCACACACATCTATTATTTTGTACACAAATCAGAGCACAATAAAAAATATACTAAGGAAGATATTCTACTGTTTATTGCTTGACTTCCCCAAAATGAAAATATCCAACTGAATACAGTATTGTATTCAAAATAACATTTAAGTGCTATCATGCATAACGTTGCATTGAGTTGTGCATCTGCAGCTTTGTTTGCATCCTCTATATCTTTTTGTTCTATTTCTGCAATAGAGCCATCAGTACTAATTATGCACATTAGTTAACAGTTAACCAGATATAACTTTATTCCATATATTTATAGGAAAGAGACAGAGGCTCATCAAGGGGTTAGAAAGATAAGCAATGTTACACAAAGTAAAAAGAGAGAAATACTGAACAAAAGAAAGGCATGAGAAGATGAAAAGAGAACATAGTTAACTCTTGTTTACACCCACTCCCTTCGCCATACTTCTTTCTGACTTCCTCTTTTCTCAAACCATCCTGATTTCCACCATCTCCATATAGATTGCCTTTTGTTATCTGACTTGCTCTCCTCTCTCTTGGAGGATCTATTTGCAGCATCCATTCATGACTTTCTTGGTCTTCTCTGACCTCTTGATCCATGCTCGCTCTCTCTCTCTCTCTCTCTCTCTCTCTCTCTCTCTCTCTCTCTCTCTCTCTCTCTCTCTCTCTCTCTCTTGTCTCTTGGGTGATATGGTCCTCAGGCAATTCTCTGTATGACCACAGCAGATTTCTTTTGTGATGGTCCCTGATTTTTATATTTAACACAGCATCCCTCTTCTTCTTGACCCTCTTCTTCTAAGTCTTCCATTCCCACTGTTTATTTGTTTGTTTGTTTCTAAAATTTATTGACCACATTTATCTTACCACAAGGTAATTCTGAGCTTACTTATTTTTTTTCCAATTTTTCCAGTAATCAAAGGTGCTTCTTGTCATTTTTTTCCCTCTTTTTAAGAAACATTTCCATTTCTTTCTCACGGTCTTACATTTTCAAATAACCGGTTGAGCAGCACAATGAGATTCTCAAACGTTGGGAGACAGAAGCTGCATTTTCCATTGTCAGGGCTTCTGATGGACCATCTCAACAAACTGGTTGCCACGGAAGAGAGTTTGCCCAAAGAAAAATGAGTGCAGCTTATTACAAAATACGGCTGTCACCATCTACTGGTCTTGCCCAGGAGGTCAATAATGCTGCATCAGAAGCAACCCTGTAAGTCAAGAATCGATCCAGAAATACTGGTTCAGCTGTTGGCATGTGGCAGAGGAAGAGAGATTATTCCACAGTAGCTAAACATCAATTAAATAGCTATAAAGCTCCACCTTCTTCTGACTTAGAACAGAAAGAAAGAAAGAAAGAAAGAAAGAAAGAAAGAAAGAAAGAAGAGAGAGAGAAGAAAGAAAGGAAGGAAAAGAGGAAGAGAGAAGGAAGGAAGGAAGAAAGAAAGAAAGAAAGAAAGAAAGAAAGAAAGAAAGAAAGAAAGAAAGAAAGAAAGAAAGAAAAAGAAAAACCAGGATCACTATAAGGATGAAACCTGGACCCAACTCAAAGGACCAATGGACAAAAAAAAAAAAAAAGAATATCTACTTTATTTAGTTAATTCTACAATTTATTTTCTGAATA